TCATATACGGTTCACAGGAGCTCCACCGGCTCGAGAACCCTAACCCTTCGGACAAGGAGAATCAGAATGAAGCCCGTGAGAACTTTTCCTATTGTGTTGGATGTGACTGCAGTGACTTGTGTGTAGTTTTAGGACCTTCTTCCCCTGAGCCACATGTGAGCCACATGTGAGCCACGGCCTGTGTTTATGTTCCCACTGAGCACGCCTCGGTAAAAAAGTAGGTTGCGAGGCGGGTTGAATACCTGGTCGTTCTGTCACACCAGCCTGCGTCTCTCGTGTGTGGGAATGAGACTTAGTGAAATCATTTAGTAACACCAGGCCATGTTCTGTTTTTCAACTGGTCTGTCTTCACTACCGATACTCTACCTCGATCTTTTTATTTATTTTTTATTTTTATTTTCTTTAAACAAATATATCTATGGGGCGACAGTGGCTCAGTTGGTAGAACATTGGCTTTTTAGCCTAAAGAAGAAATTGAGTTACAACTGTAGAATGGAATTGAATTGTTTGAATATTTTTTTTTTTTTAATCCATTGGTTTTATACAGTGCTCCTTTGGAAATTCAAAGACGCTTCACTATTGTAGCCACAGCTGCCCTGGGGCACACTGACAGAAGCAATGCAGCCAGTGTGTGCCATTGGCCCCTCGACCACCACCAACCACGCAAACACGCACACCAGACTCATTCTAATGTGGGTGAAGTGTCTTGCCTAGGTGTTATTTTTGATAAGGACATGTCGTTAGTGCTTTTTTCAGCTAAAGGAGAATCTCCAACGTCAGGAAAATGGTTTCACAGAATGATTTGGAGGTGATTATTCATGCCTTTGTGTCTTCGCGTTTAGACTATTGTAACAGTCTGTTTTCTTGTTTAAACAAGAAAGCACTGTCTCGCCTGCAGTTAGTGCAGAACTCTGCAGAGAGAATCCTGACCCGCACAAGCAGGAGGAGCACATCACCCCTGTCCTGAAAGCTCTTCATTGGCTGCCAGTGTCCTACAGGATACATTTTAAAATTCTGGTTTTAACCTTCAGAGCTTTGCACGGTCAGGCTCCGTCTTACATCAGTGACCTGATCCAGCCTTACACCCCAGCCAGGGCTCTGAGGTCTGTGGATCAGAACCTCCTGATGGTCCCACGCACTCGCTTCAGGACCAGAGGAGACAGGTCCTTCCTGTTGCTCCTGAGCTCTGGAACGTTCTCCCGCTCTATCTGCGTTCTATAGAGTCTGTTGAGTGCTTCAAAAGTCAACTGAAAACACATTTATTTGTTTAGGCTTTTGCATAATTTGGTCTTGCTGTTATTTACATGGTTGTCTTGGCCTTTAAAAATGTGTATGTCTAATTTATATAATGTCTGTTTTTATACTATCTGAAGCGCTTTGTGACCCTGGTCTGTGAAGGGCGCTATATAAATAAAGCTTACTTACTTAAGGACACAACAACAGTTTGGCCCTTTGCAGCCTGTATGAATTGTGCTTTACCAATAAACGTGTATTGCATTTCCAACTGTTCTACATCTTTAATGCACAAAATTACAGATGTACAGTACAACAAATGTAGTCATAGCAACCATTAATTATTCAAGGATTCTTTGGAATGTCTCAATCCTTTGGGGAGCCACAGGTTGGAGACCCCTGAAGCTGAGAGGAGCAGTGTCTTCTTCAGGCGCTAACCGACATGAGAGCTGCAACAACCCAGCAGGAGGAGGAGCAACAGGAGCAGGAGTAGAAGGAGTACGAGCAGGAGGAGGAGGGGCAGGAGAAGGAGTAGGCCGAGGAGCACAAAGAGCAAGAGTAGAATGAGGAGGAGCAGGCGGAGGAGGAAGAAGAGCAGCAGGAGGAGAATGAGACACGGCAGGAAGATGAGGAGGAACAGCAGGAGGAGGAGGGGCAGCAGGAAGAGTAAGAGGCACACAAAAAGCAGCAGCAGAATGAGGAGGAGCAGGAGGAAAAGCAGCAGGAGAAAGAGGGAAAGCAGCAGCAGGAGGGGCAGCAAGAAGCAGGAGGACGAAGAGCAGCAGGAGGAGCATGAGACACAGCAGGAGGATGAGGAAGAAGAGCAGGAGGAGGAGGTGGAACAGCAGGAGGAGCAGGAGGAAGAGCAGGACAGACCGACGTGTGATGATGGGAGCCTCCGCTGCGGTCTTTTTCCTCCCTGTTTTGTGGAGCTCAGCACATCCTCAGCATCCCCCCTCCCCCCTCCCCCTCATCCCCACCCCCCCCACCTCCACCTCACCCCCCCTCCCCCAACGCTCTCCCCTGAATGGAGCCCAACGCTTTTGCCAATTGGACGCAGCAGCGAGAGTGTGTGTGCCTGTGTGTGTGTGCCTCTGTGCCTGTGTGTGCGTGTGTGTGTGTGTGTGTGCCTCTGTGTGTGTGCGTGTGTGTGTGTGTGGGGTTACAGAGGACAGATTGTGTATTGCCATTTCAGCACTTCAGAGCCAATAGTGCTTAAAGAGAGGTTTGGAGTCTGCCCTTTTGTGTTTGATCCTGAGATTCAAACAGAACATGATTTGTATTTATGTAAAATACATCCATAATAAAATATGGACTCGTCTTCATCCCTCTGGTCTATCTCTGGTCTCTCTCTCGCTGGTCTACCTCTGGTCTCTCTCTCGCTGGTCTATCTCTGGTCTCTCTCTGGTCTATCTCTGGTCTCTCTCTCGCTGGTCTTGCCCTCTGGTCTCTCTTTAGTCTCTGGTCTCTCTTTCTGGTCTTTCTCTCTGGTCTCTCTCGAGTCTATCTCTGGTCTCTCTCTCTCTCTGGTCTCTCTCGAGTCTATCTCTGGTCTCTCTCTCTCTGGTCTCTCTTGAGTCTATCTCTGGTCTCTCTCTAGTCTCTCTCTCCGGTCTTTCTCTCTGGTCTCTCGCTGGTCTTGCTCTCTGGTCTCTCTCTCTGGTCTCTCTCTCCGGTCTTTCTCTCTGGTCTCTCTCTCTGGTCTCTCTCTCTCCGGTCTTTCTCTATGGTCTCTCTCTCTGGTCTCTCTCGAGTCTATCTCTGGTCTCTCTCTCTCTGGTCTTTCTCTTTGGTCTTGCTCTCTGGTCTCTCTCTCTGGTCTCTCTCTCGTCTATCTCTGGTCTCTCTCTCTCTGGTCTTTCTCTTTGGTCTTGCTCTCTGGTCTCTCTCTCTGGTCTCTCTCGAGTCTATCTTTGGTCTTTCTCTCCCTGGTCTCTCTTGAGTCTATCTCTAGTCTCTCTATCCGGTCTTTCTCTCTGGTCTCTCTCTCTGGTCTCTCTTGAGTCTATCTCTGGTCTCTCTCTCTCTCTGGTCTCTCTTGAGTCTCTCTCTGGTCCCTCTCTCAGGTCTTTCTCTCTGGTCTTGCTCTCTGGTCTCTCTCTCTGGTCTCTCTTGAGTCTCTCTCTCTCTAGTCTCTCTCTGGTCTCTCTCTCTGGTCTCTCTCTCCAGTCTTTCTCTCTGGTCTTGCTCTCTGGTCTCTCTCGAGTCTATCTCTGGTCTCTCTTTCTCTCTGGTCTCTTTTGAGTCTCTCTCTCTCTGGTCTCTCTTGCTGGTCTTGCTCTCATGGTCTCTCTCTAGTCTCTCTCTCTGGTCTCTCTCGCTGGTCTTGCCCTCTGGTCACTCTCGAGTCTATCACTGCTCCCTCCTCTTCATCACCTGCCCATAGGATGTTGGTTAAACTCTAGTATTGACGATAGTTTCCCGTGTTGTGACATCACAGGGTCTTTCTCTTGAAGATCCTTCTGAACTGTTGCTATGGCAACACATTTGTCATCTCTGTAATTCTAAAATTTTGAATTTGTTTTCAGCCTCATGACGTCTCGCTTCACTGTCAACACTGTAGAGTCAATGTAGAGTCAACACTGTAGAGTCCAGCTCTGTAGAGTCAACACTGTAGAGTCCAGCTCTGTAGAGTCCAACACTGTAGAGTCAACGCTGTAGAGAGCAGTCAAAGTGACTGTAGAGAGCTGTAGAGAGCAAAGTGACTGTAGAGAGCTGTAGAGAGCAGCCAAAGTGACTGTAGAGAGCTGTAGAGAGCAGTCAAAGTGACTGTAGAGAGCTGTAGAGAGCTGTAGAGAGCTGTAGAGAGCAAAGTGACTGTAGAGAGCAGTCAAAGTGACTGTAGAGAGCTGTAGAGAGCTGTCAAAGTGACTGTAGAGAGCTGTAGAGAGCAGTCAAAGTGACTGTAGAGAGCTGTAGAGAGCTGTCAGAGAGACTGTAGAGAGCTGTCAAAGTGACTGTAGAGAGCAGTCAAAGTGACTGTAGAGAACAGTCAAAGTGACTGTAGAGAGCTGTAGAGAGCTATCAAAGTGACTGTAGAGAGCAGTCAAAGTGACTGTAGAGAGCAGTCAAAGTGACTGTAGAGAGCTGTAGAGAGCTGTCAAAGTGACTGTAGAGAGCAGTCAAAGTGACTGTAGAGAGCAGTCAAAGTGACTGTAGAGAGCAGTCAAAGTGACTGTAGAGAGCTGTCAAAGTGACTGTAGAGAGCAGTCAAAGTGACTGTAGAGAGCAGTCAAAGTGACTGTAGAGAGCTGTCAAAGTGACTGTAGAGAGCAGTCAAAGTGACTGTAGAGAACAGTCAAAGTGACTGTAGAGAACAGTCAAAGTGACTGTAGAGAGCTGTAGAGAGCAGTCAAAGTGACTGTAGAGAACAGTCAAAGTGACTGTAGAGAACAGTCAAAGTGACTGTAGAGAGCTGTAGAGAGCAGTCAAAGTGACTGTAGAGAACAGTCAAAGTGACTGTAGAGAACAGTCAAAGTGACTGTAGAGAACAGTCAAAGTGACTGTAGAGAGCTGTAGAGAGCAGTCAAAGTGACTGTAGAGAACAGTCAAAGTGACTGTAGAGAACAGTCAAAGTGACTGTAGAGAGCAGTCAAAGTGACTTTCTAAAACAACGTCACTGTTTGTGTAAAGATCAAACCTCAGGAAAATCCTTTTATTTTAAATCCATATGTTCATGTCCCAGTGTTTGAACTTGACTGTTTTTTACAGTCCAGTCCTGGTCTGAGGTCTGGGTCCGGTCCTGGTCTGAATAGCATCCGCAGAAGATGACTCCTCATCAGTCTCCCTCTCTCCCTCTCTCCTCGCTCCTCTCATTCTGTCCCTCCCCCTCCCCCCCGGTCCCGGGAGCCGCAGAGCAGCTCTCGCTCCTGCCGCAGTCAGACTGGAGCAGAGCACCGGGACAGCCGCACACCGGGACAGCCGCACACCGGGACCGGGACAGCACCGGGACAGAGCAGAGCCGTGCATGGCGCGGACCCCTGCCTCGGCACCAGCAGCAGCAGCAGGACCCGGGCGCTGAGTCCGAAGCATGCCCCAGGGCAGCCATGACCTGCTCGGCCTCAGATAGCGAGAAGATCGTCATCAACTGCGGCGGCACCCGGCACGAGACTTACCGGAGCACCCTGAAGACGCTCCCGGGCACGCGCCTGTCCTGGCTCACGGAGCCTGACGCCTTCAGCAACTTCGACTACGACCCGAAGAGCGACGAGTTCTTCTTCGACCGCCACCCCGCGACCTTCGCTTTCATCCTCAACTACTACCGCACCGGGAAACTGCACTGTCCCAGTGACGTGTGCGGCCCGCTGTTTGAGGATGAGCTCGCCTTCTGGGGCATCGACGAGACGGACGTGGAGGCGTGCTGCTGGATGAACTACCGCCAGCATCGGGACGCGGAAGAGGCGCTGGACAGCTTCGAGACCCCGGAGCCCGAAGAGGCCGAGAATGACCCCGCGCTCACCGGGGGCGCGGACGGGGACCTGAAGCGGCTGTGCGTGCAGGATGACCGGCGCAAACCCACGTGTTGGGAGGTGTGGCAGCCGCGCATGTGGGCACTCTTCGAGGACCCCTATTCCTCCAAGTACGCCCGGGTGAGTGCGCGCTGAGCGGCCAGAGCCATGTGCTCCGGCCGAATCTGCTCCGCGTGCTCCACATGTGTGTCTGCCCCCTTGCCCCGCCATGTCCCCCACTGTATGCCCCTGGCCATGTCCCCAGGCCCCAGGGTTAGTCTCCTCTGTCCTCAGCTCCTGTCAGAGTTGGGAGAATACTTGGAATACTTTTCTCATTTGCATAATGTTAGAGTAATGCAGCAAGGACGGATTCAAACACTTTGGTTTTTAGGATTTGTTTCCATCATTGTTGATTACAGAGGACCAGGCTCTGCTCCTGTGTCCGTAGGAGACGCTCCTGTGTCCGCAGGAGGTGCAAGTGTGGAGTCTGTGCCTAAAGTGCATCAGATCAAATGTTTATTGTTTTAAGTCGTTATAGTTGCTAAATAGTTATTCTGTTCCTCAGTCCTCCTCAGTCCTCCTCTCAGTCCTCTCTTCAGTCCTCCTCAGTCCTCCTCTCAGTCCTCCTCAGGCTTCCTCTCAGTCCTCCTCAGTCCTCTCTCAGTCCTCTCTCAGTCCTCTCCTCGGTTCTCCTCAGTCTTTCTCTCAGTTCTCTCTCAGTCCTCTCCTCAGTCCTCCTCAGTCCTCCTCTCAGTCCTCCTCAGTCCTCCTCTCAGTCCTCCTCAGTCCTCCTCTCAGTCCTCCTCAGTCCTCCTCTCAGTCCTCCTCAGTCTTCCTCTCAGTCCTCCTCAGTCCTCTCTCAGTCCTCTCTCAGTCCTCTCCTCAGTCCTCCTCTCAGTCCACTTCTCAGTCCTCCTCTCACTCCTCCTCTCAGTCCTCCTTGTCAGTCCTCCTCAGTCCTCCTCAGTCCTCCTCTCAGTCCTCCTCAGTCTTCCTCTCAGTCCTCCTCAGTCCTCTCCTCAGTCCTCCTCTCACTCCTCTCAGTCCTCCTCAGTCCTCCTCTCAGTCCTCCTCAGTCTTCCTCTCAGTCCTCCTCAGTCCTCCTCAGTCCTCCTCACAGTCCTCCTCAGTCCTCTCTCAGTCCTCCTCAGTCTTCCTCTCAGTCCTCCTCAGTCCTCCTCAGTCCTCCTCACAGCCTCCTCAGTCCTCTCCTCAGTCCTCCTCTCACTCCTCCTCTCAGTCCTCCTCAGTCCTCCTCAGTCCTCCTCTCAGTCCTCCTCAGTCCTCCTCTCAGTCCTCCTCAGTCTTCCTCTCAGTCCTCCTCAGTCCTCTCTCAGTCCTCTCCTCAGTCCTCCTCACAGTCCTCCTCAGTCCTCTCCTCAGTCCTCCTCACTCCTCCTCTCAGTCCTCCTCAGTCCTCCTCTCAGTCCTCCTCAGTCTTCCTCTCAATCCTCCTCAGTCCTCCTCAGTCCTCCTCACTCCTCCTCTCAGTCCTCCTCAGTCCTCCTCACTCCTCCTCTCAGTCCTCCTCTCAGTCCTCTCAGTCCTCCTCAGTCCTCCTCAGTCCTCCTCTCAGTCCTCCTCAGTCCTCCTCACTCCTCCTCTCAGTCCTCCTCTCAGTCCTCCTCAGTCCTCCTCACTCCTCCTCTCAGTCCTCCTCTCAGTCCTCTCAGTCCTCCTCACTCCTCCTCTCAGTCCTCCTCAGTCCTCCTCACTCCTCCTCTCAGTCCTCCTCTCAGTCCTCTCAGTCCTCCTCAGTCCTCCTCAGTCCTCCTCCTCAGTCTTGACGCCTCCTGCTGCAGACCTGTTTTCTCTCAGTCTGCTCCGATGCTGTCGCAGTTTTTCTGAATCAGTGATCGTGTTTTTCTGCCACTTTTTCTCTCTGCGTTCTGCTCTGGATTAAAGCTGGGGTACCTAACTTTCCATCCACCAACAATGGAAGCATGTGTTTTCGGCCTCTGTCACATCTTCAAATCAGCTTTTTCAAACCAACCCCCCTCACAGTCCTCCTCTAAGCCCTCTTCAGTCCTCTTCAGTCCTCTCAGGCCATGTCCACACGTAGCCGAGTATTTTTAAAACCGAATATTTGTCCCCCTCTGTTTCTAAAATAATTTGCATCCACACATAACCGAACATCTGCGCTTTCAATCACATTCATAACATCCACACATGTGCGTCCTCTGACGTCCTGCGCTGGGGGAAAACACAGAAGTGGGCCGAGCTCTTGCCGGCACTTTTACAGTCACAGAAGAAACTCAGGATAAAGACACATGTTTACAAGCACTGACCCCCGTACTCAGCCCTGGTTCAGCCCTGGTTCAGCCCTGGTTCAGCCCTGGTTCAGTCCTGGTTTAGTCCTGGTTTAGTCCTGGTTTAGTCCTGGTTTAGTCCTGGTTTAGTCCTGGTTTAATCCTGGTTTAGCTCCTGTTTTGGTTGTTTTCGGGCATGAGTCCCTGTGATCACTTTGCTGCTCTCTGATGTGGAGCGAGGATGTTCGAACAGTTTTTAAGGCAGTAAGATCCTCCTTCAGTGATCAGAGTCGCATGTTTTGTTTGTTGTTGTTTTGGAGGCATACTGTGACGTGCGAAAACGCAAAACTCCGGTTATCTCTGTCTACATGCAAATGCATAAACAGAGTTTTCAAAAATCTCCACTTTTCCCGCAGTTTTTTTATATATTCGTTTATGATGCATTGTCATCTGGATGACAGCTGCAAACGAAGACATATATCTGCGGTTTAGCAGAGACTGGCTACGTGTGGACGGGGTCTAAGTCCTCAGACCTCCTCTCAGACCTTCTCTCAGTCCTCCTCTCAGACCTCCTCTGAGTCCTCCCCTCAGTCCTCCTCCTCAATCGTTGGCCCAGTCCCAATACTCGCACTTCCACCTCGCGCCCCTCATTTTCGCGTTCCCGATGATGGGTGCGAGTGCGTAGGGTGTCCCAATTCTCCAGGGAGGTCTTTGGCCCCGCCCCTTTTGCGCCCCTGATCCACACTTCGCCGTAGCCTGCATCTATGCAGACTCTGGCGAAGGATATTGCCCATAATTCCTTGCGGTACACACCAAAACGTCGGGAAAATGCATTTATATGTACGTTTTGAAATATGTATGCTGTATGTGTGTAAATAAGTTTTGCTGTTACTTGGAAAGAAGCATAAACGTCTGATGAAGAATTACAGACATTATATTTTAACAAACAACTTTTTAAAGCAAGCGTTTATATAACATTCCATTTAAACTTTACACTTAGGACAATAATCTTAGGATGTATAAAAACTGACCAGACTACAGTTAGTTACCCACATTTAACTTAAAATCTTAAACTACAAATAACCAATATACATTTATTTTAACGTGTGTGGAGCAACTCATTTTGTTTCCCACAGGGTCAGACAAAATTACCTTTAATGTTTATAAAGTTTAGATCTGAAAATGACCATCTCTTGACGAGTCGATGACGTAACCTGCTCTCAGTGTGCACTGTCCCAATTCCGCCTTTTTGGGATTGGGCCCTCCTCTCAGGCCCCCCCTCTCAGTCAATCAGCTCTCAGCCGAGCCCCAACCCTTTTTGACAATTATACGCAAAAGATGACAACATTTCAGAACGTTTTACTTTTACTCGTTCTGTTGGACAATAAACACGACTTACTGATGGTAGAGAAAGTCAGGAACCTCAGCTTTAATAGATTATCATCATCATTATTGTAATGGTTTGTGTTGCTATCAAGTCCATGCGGCTCCTGACTCCACACGCACACACACACACACACACACGCACATACACGCACGCACCCACACACACACATATATAGTATATATTTAACACACACACAGAGACACATAGACACATACATATACATACACATGCACACACATACGCACATACACATATGCACACACATACACAGGTACACATGTACACATATACAAACACACTCACACACACACACGCACGCACACACACACACACACACACAGACACTACTACCTCAGATGTTATTTCACATTCTAGAACATGAAATGACAAAGCGAACAATCTCATTGTGATATTTCATGTAAATAAGTCCTCTTTATTTATATCGCGCATTCAACAGACCAAGGTCGCCCAAAGCATTTGTTCAGATATTTATATGAATGACCAAAAACCATGTGTTGGATTTCTTCTTGTTTACTTGTTGAGACACTGCTTTACTCTTTGGGCTGAGAGCTGATTGGCTGAGGGAGGGTGGTCCGCTTTGGTCTCGGTTTCTCCGAAAGCCAGACTCGTTACATTGGGTCGGCTCTTCTTTCCGCAGATGTGACCAGTTACTGAGCCGAGTGAAGTCACTTGTTCAATGGCAAACTGTGGCAGACATCAGCGAATAGTGGAGCCTCTGCTGGAGACATTTGGTAGTGCAGCATTTGTGTATAACCAAGTTTTTGATCTTTTTCTATTTTTTCTTAATCAACTTTACTGTAATTATGTTTTTTTTGGAGCAGTTTTACATCAATTAAGCCATAGTTTAAAGAAGTTATTTTCAGGATGCCAAGTTCCAATGCAAACCCGCTAGCTCAATGAAGCCCAGTGGGGAAGTACTCATGGACGAAGTTTTGTTCCAACTCATCTTGTATCCTATTGACTTATATGTAAACTCCTCTCGCTCAGGAGGGGGGGGGGGGATTCTAGCTTGCCTTAAGCCTAGTGTATACTTGCGCGGCGCTGCTTACGTTAGCGGTTGCGGTGGACTTACGCAAGCACAATTTAATTTATACTCCTTTCAGAGTTTTGAGGAGAATGTTGTGATCCCACAACCAACCACACGATGGCGATCTCACAGGAGTTGCATGAGAAACCAGAGCGGTCTCATTTACGCTGCTTCTTTTTCCTCTTCAGAACAAAAACATGAACAAACCGAGCTGTTTGAGATCATTACATGTGTTTCTACTGTAGGTTTATGTGACAGTTCTAAACTCATCGTTTCAACTCATTTAACTGTGATGCTGTGAATAAAGACACAGTTGTTGTTGGAAACAGTTATTATTAAATTGTATTCAGCACAAAAAGCAAAACAATAAAAGTGGTAAATATCTGAGACAAACATGAACTATTTATAAGTGCAGGAGGAATGGAACAGACGCGATAAGCTACGAGTGCAGATTCAGACAAAGACAGGAACA